GGATTATCTGTAAATTTTGTGATTTTAAAGGGATATGGTGTTGGCCCGATTGGCAAGTAGGGAAACATGTCTCGTAACTCTTGTAGGTTTTGTTACTGTTGGTAGAACATGCATTTACTCATTGTTTTTGTAAATTTCATTTAGTTTGGGCCTGGTCTTGCAGGAGATTTTTTTGAGTCCCCTGGATAGTAAGTGATCTTTTTTCATGCGTGGATCGTTATCTACTTCCTAGGTTCTGACAAAATTGGCTAATGTTTGATTGTGGAACTCGTAGATGTTTATAAACTGTGAGGGGTTTTTTGTAGGTTTTTGGGATTTAAATTTGCTTTTTTAAATTTCCCCATGTTCTCCTTGTGAAAGTTTAGTGATAATTTAGTTGGTCTGAGTAGTTATAGCTGTGCCCCCCTTTTTGGTCGGGGGCCTACAGTGTTTTGGGTGTGTAACGGGAAATTTGGTATAGACTTCTGTGTATCAGGTTTTAGCCAGGTTTCAGTTAGTGAAGATGGCATTTGGGCATGAAAGGGAAAATTTAGAAATGCTAGGGGTATCGTAATGTTTGCTTAAAGATTGATATTGTAGTTAAAGATGTTAGTTGTTTTTGGCTCTGAGAAGTCCCTTTTGATGTTCTCTGTGTAGTAATTACAAAAAACTGTTTAAATCATTTAAGTCTTTAAAATAAGAGGTTGGTTCAGGAAAAATGCTTGTAATCATAAGTTTGTAGTAAAATCTATGTTAGAATTAAAAAACAAAGTAAATATTCTAAAGCTAAAAAAGCACCTGAATTTTTTAACAAATGAAAAAATAATGAGCTGGTAGTTTTTTAAAGTAAAAAAAAGGAGACAATATAAAAAGGGACAAAAATAATTTTGGTGAACAAAAAAAATCTTCAATTTTTTATGTGAAAAAAAAATCAAAATACAAAGAAGAGTAATTTAAGGGGGCCCTGGAGACAGACTAACGAAAGGGATTGTTATTTTATCCCAAGAATGTCTGCTTTGTTTATTTGGACCCTTTTTTAAAATTTGGCTCTTTTTTAATTTGCGTGAAATGAGAAAATTCCCCAATTTCTGCCATTTATTGGGCAGTGTGTATCGGTAAAGGGGAGGTTTCTTGTATACTCATTTGAAAAAAAAATGGAGTTTAAAGAAATAGCTTGAGTTTTTTTCGCTGGAACATAAAAATTACCCGGGAAAATAGGGTCAAAGTGGGTGAAATCGGCGATGCGTTTATCGCAGAGATCATAAAAAAGCAGGAGCGTAATTCCATAAATTTGAATTAAATTTCGTACTTTTGGCATTTACCATCCGGAAAAGATACTCTATCTTTCAAGATTTTTTTTTTTTTTTTTTCAAAAAAATTTTCAACACCAGGGACACTTCAGGGGGGGTTTGGGGGTTGCGCAGCCCAAAAGGGGTTTAAAACGTTTTTTTTACCCGGAGTTATGGTGATGTAAGGTCTGTCTGGTTCATTACCTAAAACCTGATCCTGCAAATGATGCTCATTTGTTTGTTTTTAATGGTAAAAATTTTTGCTGCATAAAATAAGCATTTTGACATTATATGAAATAGGGGTATTTCATTGGGATTGGGGGAGAGCATGTATGTCCCTTTATATAAAGGGAAAGGGGACAAAGGATTGTAAAATTTAGGGAATAAATTTATGGTATCAGGAAAAATTACGGTAGGGTTATAATTGAAAGAATTAGAGGTAAGACAGAATGTAGAATTGCGGATGAGCAAGGAGGCTTCAGAGTGGGTAGGGGATGTGTAGATCAAGTGTTTACATTGAAGCATATATGTGAACAGTATTTAGATAAAGGTAGGGAAGTTTTTATTGCATTTATGGATTTAGAAAAGGCATATGATAGAGTGGATAGAGGAGCAATGTGGCAGATGTTGCAAGTATATGGAATAGGTGGTAAGTTACTAAATGCTGTAAAGAGCTTTTATGAAGATAGTGAGGCTCAGGTTAGGGTATGTAGAAGAGAGGGAGAATACTTCCCGGTAAAAGTAGGTCTTAGACAGGGATGTGTAATGTCACCATGGTTGTTTAATATATTTATAGATGGGGTTGTAAAAGAAGTAAATGCTAGGGTGTTCGGGAGAGGGGTGAGATTAAATTATGGGGAATCAAATTCAAAATGGGAATTGACACAGTTACTTTTTGCTGATGATACTGTGCTTGTGGGAGATTCTAAAGAAAAATTGCAAAGGTTAGTGGATGAGTTTGAGAATGTGTGTAAAGGTAGAAAGTTGAAAGTGAACATAGAAAAGAGTAAGGTGATGAGGGTATCAAATGATTTAGATAAAGAAAAATTGGATATCAAATTGGGGAGGAGGAGTATGGAAGAAGTGAATGTTTTCAGATACTTGGGAGTTGAAGTGTCGGCGGATGGATTTATAAAGGATGAGGTTAATCATAGAATTGATGAGGGAAAAAAGGTGAGTGGTGCGTTGAGGTATATTTGGAGTCAAAAAACGTTATCTATGGAGGCAAAGAAGGGAATGTATGAAAGTATAGTAGTACCGACACTCTTATATGGATGTGAAGCTTGGGTGGTAAATGCAGCAGCGAGGAGACGGTTGGAGGCAGTGGAGATGTCCTGTCTAAGGGCAATGTGTGGTGTAAATATTATGCAGAAAATTCGGAGTGTGGAAATTAGGAGGTGTGGAGTTAATAAAAGCATTAGTCAGAGGGCAGAAGAGGGGTTGTTGAGGTGGTTTGGTCATTTAGAGAGAATGGATCAAAGTAGAATGACATGGAAAGCATATAAATCTATAGGGGAAGGAAAGAGGGGTAGGGGTCGTCCTCGAAAGGGTTGGAAAGAGGGGGTAAAGGAGGTTTTGTGGGCGAGGGGCTTGGACTTCCAGCAAGCGTGCATGAGCGTGTTAGATAGGAGTGAATGGAGAGACGACTGATACTTGGGACCTGACGATCTGTTGGAGTGTGAGCAGGGTAATATTTAGTGAAGGGATTCAGGGAAACGGTTATTTTCATATAGTCGGACTTGAGTCCTGGAAATGGGAAGTACAATGCCTGCACTTTAAAGGAGGGGTTTGGGATATTGGCAGTTTGGAGGGATATGTTGTGTATCTTTATACATATATGCTTCTAAGCTGTTGTATTCTGAGCACCTCTGCAAAAGCAGTGATAATGTGAGTGTGGTGAAAGTGTTGAATGATGATGAAAGTATTTTCTTTTTGGGGATTTTCTTTCTTTTTTGGGTCACCCTGCCTCGGTGCGAGACGACCGACTTGTTGAAAAAAAAAAAAAAAAAATTAAAAAAGAAAAAGGTGCAATAATAAATTACTTTAACCCATTCAGGGACGAGAGGCCCTCTCCTAAACTTGTTCTCAGGGTCAAAAATATTTTGGAAAAAAAAAAAAAATTTCTTATGAAATGATAAGAGAATCTTTTCCTGATCATAATGACACCAAAAGTATGAAATTTGATGGAAAATTTACGGCAATTATGCTCTCGTGAATTTAGCAGTCTTGCTGATGTTTATGCATTGGCAATTTCGCCAAATTTGAGCCCTATTTTCTGCCAATTAATGTGTGCTAGTCGACAAAAATCATATTTATTTCGCTAGAACTACATTTTTTCTATCGAATGAATACAAGAAACCACCCATTTACCAATTTCAACTATCCAATACAGTGGTTAGAAATTGGCAATTTTGCCAATTTCACACAAATTTCAGAAGATGCCAATTTCCAAAGAGGGTCCAGAATAAACAAGACAGACATTCCTGGCACTAAAATAAGTTCTCTGTTCGTTAGTCACGTCCCCAGGCTCCTCTCATATTTCTTTTGCTTTCCACTTTGAATTTTTATTCTTACAAAAAATAGAAGATTTACTGTTATGCAGACTACTGCATTAGTGTAGAAATGGTATAAATAATATCAGCACACTTGTGAAAGAATATCAGACTCACCAGTTGACGTGTATTGGACGCCTGGCATGATTTGTTTACTTTTGAACTTTGGTAAAAATCGAACATTTCTGCTACTTTGAGCTCAATTTCAAGGTACTTTTCATTGTGAAACCAATCAAAATCATCTCAATTTCTGTAATATGTCTTCCATTCTATAAAATGAGACCAGAAAAACTAGAATACAACCATAAATAACATACGAAAATACAGTGCAAAGTCGCCATTTTAATCTAAAAACACAGTCATTTTTTTTTTCTCATTACGCACTGTGTGCTGCAGGATTTTTTTTTATACTGACCACATAGACCCATTCTTTCTTATGTAGGCCTACCAGTTTTCTCTCGTTAGATTTGAAGGCGTTAGAATTTAGGCGTTCTAGTACGTCAATAACCCTGGTGCGTAAGCCTTACTAGTACATCGAAAACCCTGAAAGGGTTAACAGAGATGCTTTTTGCTTTTTCTGGAAGTGTGGGTATTGTAGACACGACCTGACCTGACCTGACCCGACCCGACCTGACCCGACCCCGCGAGTCAGTGTAACTGAGCTAAAAACTAACATTCATGCCCAATTATTTTCTCGACACTTTTTAAGTATGAAAAAAAAAAAAGGATCCACAAATGGTATACAAACATCCACAATAATATTAATCTAATTAACTGAAATTGAAAACGAGAGGTTTTCAGGTATAATTAAGCAAATTCAATCCAAATTTGTTACAGTAAACAAAACAAGTTGGTGTGGAAGTTGCTGACTTATTTGCATACAGTTGTTTAAATCCTCAAATTATATCTAAGGAGTACAGTAACAACAATAGAAGAATTTGGTTGTTGGGCTGAGAGAGAGAACATAATTGCTCTACAAACCTACCATCACTAAACTGCTAATCTGCAACCAGTGCACTACACATCTTCAATCTAGTATACTACACTACACTTCTACCATCTCTAATACACATCCACCATCACTACCATAACTGAACTTCTGAGGTTATAACATGAATTCAACTCAACATTTACATAACCGAAAATACTAGTACATAACTTTTTCATATAAAGAACTTACTGAGACATACAGGTCTTCAATGTGATCAAATTCTATATTAGGAACCTTAATGTTTATGATGTAGTGATCATGGTAAAGGCTGTACAGGACAACCAAGGGCATAGGAGAACAATCATATGTTGAGCCTCCAAACTTGTGCTCTTTCCTTAAATGGCAAGATATCTGTCTATCCTGCATTCTGGCAGCCATCAGTTTGGGATGGGGATCATCACCATCAGTATAACCTAGACGAGTGATCAAACTCAGCTTTGTGCCAGCAGGTGGTCTTCGCCCTGAAATGAAGAAACTTTATTACTGTACATGATTTTTGGACTTTTTTTATTAGGATAAAAGAATAAACTGGTTAAAATGACAAGCTTCCCAAGACTTACCTGCAAAACATTATATGATGAGGACAGGACACCTTACAGTCACAAACCAGGACACCCATAAGCCCTGTACTAAAAGTGATCATTACGTGCTAACACCTACCTAAGGCATTATCTTATTGACCTGTCATGAGCAGAGAAGCAAGTTACATGACTATTAAAACCCCAGTCTCATTACCATGGATGGCAAAGGATAAGAAATGTCTAAACCATAATTTCCCTTAACTGAATCTTAGAGAAATAGTTAAGAAACCTGTTGTTGACCACTATCCCTCCCCACTATATGTACTTGTTTTATGTATGTAGGCTGATGGACCCACTGCTCTGTACCATTACACAGTTTGTAAAAAAATATATTCTTGTCAAGTACAACAGTTTTATAATAATATATGTGGTAGTATTTTGGCAGAATGTCTATGCTGTGAAAAGCCTTGATTAATGACTGTATACGATTCAACTGTGTTCTGTTTGTATTTATATTTCTTTGTGTAGCCTAACCTTCTCGTTCAACCATCCATTGCCACAATATGTCTGCTTTTGAAGTGTGCTCTGTTCACATATTGTTGACAGTCACTTTCAACAAGGCACAGAACACCTGACACTCATACACTCACTCTAATTTGGCCTTGGCTGGGAGACGCTAGGCTAAAAAGTACAAATTATTTTAGCTTCACGAATGTGTATACCCACACTAAGGGAAAGGTAAAGGGGTTAAGTGCAATGATTTAAAGAAAAAGTGAGGCAGCTTCCAGTTATTATTTGGGTAAGTGCTCATGTTTGCTTTTTTTCCTAGTCACCTCTGGAAGCACAGTAAATTGCTTGCCTAGTGTTAATGAGAGCTGCCTAGTAGCAATTTATTAACCATAACTATGTAAGAACATTTGCTTATATGCCAAGTTAAATTTTTTATTTAACCCAGAAGGGTAAGTTTATTGGACACTGCCACAAATCATGTGAGTAAACATACACAGTAGCACAAATTACTGTATATTCACACATCTTATCAGCACCATAAATAATGTTCCTTACAAGTTTAAATGGTAATTTTTTGTACACAAAACTATCAATCAGCTTATGTAATGAATATAAAATTAAATATTTTGAACAAAATCTCATGGCTGTTATTCAAATCATAACTCTTGTGCTAAGCTAAAAGACAATGGGCACTGCTAAAGCCCCCATTTATTGACCAAATTGTACCAAAAATATGAACATATCATACATGCACAAAAAAAGGTACATTCAAATGACTAAAGAGCAGTGCACATGCATGTGTGGGTTGGTGGCATAACCTGATGCATATGTCCTCAATGTTTACATTGGACCTTCTACTCTGAGTGGCAGATGAAAGCACCAATTGGACTGCCATTTAAGTGTGATCTATGAGTTGTCGTAACACAGCTGAATAATCAACATGCTTTTTGATGTCTGTGGCAGGATCACTACTGCCACAATCAGAGATAAACAGCGCTTAGTTTGTTATCACAGTCTAGGTGGTGAAAAAGCTAACGTCAACTACTAAACCTCAAACTATGATAGCTGAAAACTAAGCTATTTAGCACATTTAAATTAGATCAAATGGTTGAAATGACTATTCCAATGTAAGAACATACCAAGTGCAACAATGGTTCTCACTGAGGTGTATAACATTAATTTAACGTGCCCAAAAATACATTAAATAAGTTGCAGAAGCTAAAAGTTTCAATACCTAATGTTGAACATACAGTATGCTATATTTTAGCTTGCTTTACTCCAAAATCTGCACGACATATGTAGTTAATTATTTGTCACTGTTTATCCAAATTGTACTAAACCTACCACATTACCATGCATACCACTCAAGTTGCATGGATCTCACTTTTTTCTACTGCTTCACACATCACAGATTAGTTTGCTATTCCATCAATCCAATGATCATCTCTAAGCATCTCGTAACACTACTTATCCTCCTCTTATGTATAGCCCTTATTTCCTTATCAACCTTCCCAGACTAAGGTCAGCATCTCTCCTGCTCTGGTGAGCCATCAACTATCTTACTTTCATGTCTTTAGACACCACTACCTTGCAAAAGCAATGCCACAGGGCCAGTACTAATGAATGGGTTATCTTAACCCTTAAAGTGCCAACGACACTAATTTGCATCATGGTACAAAGTGCTAGCAATATGAATTCCAGTCATGTGTGTACCGTCTTCAAATTTAATGAGAAACACAAGTGGCATACACAACAAAGAATAGGTGTGTGCAGTAGGTGTGCACTAGTGAGGAAAAAATCCCATCCTGCCAAGTGCATTGTGGGAACCACTAGAATAGGTCATACATGTGATGACAACAGTGATGACCACAAACCATCCACCTCTGGTGCTAGTGGCCCTCCCAGGGCCTGTAAATAGTGTATATAATAGAACATTACAAACAATAAATATAAATGAAACATTTTTAGTGAACAATTATGTAAATAATACCAAGGCTCACAGATTGTAGTTATAGGCAATATTAGTGAAAACGAAGAAAAACGAACATGTTGTATTAAAGAGAAAGTTGACAAATTGGTGTTTACATTACAGTGGAACCTCAAATTTCGAACGTACCACTTATCGAACTCTTCAAAATCGAACGCTTTTTTTGAACGAACTTTGTCCCTATTATCGAACTCGCCCCTATTTTCGAACCACTGGGTACCGGACCTGTCCGGCAGCCCACTCTGTCAGCATCCCCGCACAGGCACCATGAGCCAGTCTGGTTTTGTTGATGCTTGAGTGAACACTAAACTGCGCTCTCATTCAAACATTTTACGATTATTTCATTGTGTTTAGTGCTTGTGGGACTGTGAAATAAGCTACCATGGGCCCAAAGAAACTTGCTAGTGGTACCCCTGTGGTAAACAAAGTGAGAAACACCATGTATGTGAAGAAGGAAATAATACAGAAGTATGAAAGTGATGTGAGACTTGTTGAGCTTGTCAGGATGTATGGGAAAAACAAGTCGACCATTGGTTCTATCCTGGCAAAGAAAGAACAAATCAAGGAAGCTGATGTTGCAAAAGGTGTTAATATGGTAACCAAAAAAAGACCACAGACAATCGATCAGGTTGAGAAGTTGTTGCTGGTGTGGATCAAGGATAAAGCTATGGCAGGTGATAGTGTTTCAAAGACCATTATTTGTGAAAAGCCAAGAAAGTTGCATGCCAATCTAGTACAGAAAACTCCTGGAACCAGCGCTGATAGTGAATTTAAGGCCAGCAGAGGCTGGTTTGGCAGATTTAAGAAGTGTAGTGGCATACACAATGTTGTAAGGCATGGTGAGGCAGCCAGTTCAGACAAACGGGTGGCTGAGAAGTTTGTACAGGTGTTTAAGGTTTACGTAGACACTGAAAAATTCAAACCCCAACAAGTGTTCAACTGTGACAAAACAGGACTGTTTGGAAGAAAATGCCAAAGAAGACCTACATTACTCAGGAGGAAAAGGCACTTCCAGGACACAAGCCTATGAAAAACAGGCTAACTCTTTTATTCTGTGCTAATGCTAGTGGTGATTTTAAACTGCAGCCTTTACTTGTGTATCATTCAGAAAACCCCAGTGTTTAAGAAAAACAATGTCATAAAGAACAAGTTGTGTGTCTTGTGGAAAGCAAATAATAAGGCATGGGTCACAAGGCAAATTTTCAAAGAGTGGGTCCATGAAGTGTTTGGCCCCAGTGTGAGAAAATACCTCCTACACAATAATTTGCCACTCAAGTGCTTCCTGTTAATGGACAATGCTCCTGCTCATCCTCCAAGCTTATTAGACCTCTTGTCTAGAGACTTCAGTTTTATTTTATTTATTTAATTATTTATTTATGTCTTTGCAAATAGTACATTGAGATTATGTATTTACAAAAATTGGTTGCAATGCAAAGAGAGCCTCTATTATGCCTAGGCATTATTGGCTCACTGACTACTTAACACTAAGAATTATATCATAGTTGTACAGTAGAATATTAATTATATCATAATTGTACAGTAGATTATTACCTATAGGTGAATCTAGTTTATATAAGACAAAAGATATATTCATATATTCAAAAATGCTTTTTGTGAAAACAATGACTCAATTATATTCCTGTCAACAATGGATAAAAGGTTCAAAAGTAGCTGTTGAAATTATGATATGGGAATACATATTGAATATGTGAGTACTGAGTATTTAGCATTTAGTCTAGGGTGATTAAGTGGCTTTTGAGAAGAGTCTTAAATTGATTTTCAGACCGGGTTACTTTAGTATCTTCTGGTAATGAATTTCATATTTTGGGGCCCTTTATGTGTATACAGTTTTTACACAGTGTGACACTGACACGAGGTACAACAAAAAGAGATCTGTGTCTTGTGTTATGGTCATGTGTCCTGTGAAGTTCTTGCCCATTAATACCACTTCTCTCCTCCAGCTCATGGACCAGCAGGTCATTTCTAACTTCAAAAAACTCTACACAAAAGCAGTGTTTTAAAAGTGCTTTGAAATGACCAAACACTAAGCTGACCCTAAGAGAGTTCTGGAGGAATCACTTCAATATCTACAGCTCCATAAGCCTTATAGGTAAGGCTTGGGAGGGAGTGACTTCCAGGACTTCGAACCCTGCTGGGAGACAACTGTGGCCAGATTGTGTCCAAAAGTGGGATTCTGAAGGGTTTGAGGCTGACCCTGATGACCCTCTGCCTGTTGTGGACTCTATTGTAGCATTGGGGAACACCCTGGGGCTGGAGGTGAGTGACGAGGATGTGGAAGAGTTGGTGAAGGACCACAGGGAAGAGCTAACCACTGAAGAGCTGGAAGAGCTTCATCTGGAACAGTATCAGATCACAGCTGAGGACCTTGCTTCAGAGGAGGAGGAAGAGGGAGTAGATGAGGTGCCTTCTTCAAAGATTAAGG